ATAATAATAATAATAATAATAATAATAATAATAATAATAATAATAATAATAATAAAGAGAATGTGCTGCATGGATAGTGAGATGTAAAGCTACAGACAGCAATGAGGTCGGATGAATGGATGTTCATAGGATGGTGGCTCATACTGTGCTCCAGAGTTCAGTTCTGGGTCTACTTTTGCTTCAAATAATACTTTTGACGTAAGCACCAATGGAAGAATATAGATGTTTGCCGTGAAGGATAATGCAGAAAGCTGCAAGAAAGCACAGACAGGTATTCGACATTGTGTCATGTTTGGACAAGGTAAGGAGAGGAAACCATTCCTACTTGGAATATCTGAGTGAAAAGAGATAAAGAAGAATTGATTAACATATTTAAACAGGAAGTAGGAAAAGTCTGACCAAAAAAATTAATCAGGAAAGCACAGATGAAAGTGATTAGGTGACGGTCAGAGACAGAGAAAAGTCATGGTGGACTGAATGGTTTCTGTCTATGCTGTAAGCATCTCTGTTCTAGGTAAGCAGTGAAGTAATAAATTCTGGAATGACAGAGAGGGGTTATGTGTGATAAATAGTGAAAGTTAAAGTGGCAGAGATATAGAATGGAAAAGAAAACAGATTTCTTACGAGTTAAAATATGGATAAAAATGGACAAATATAGATTTTGGATATTATACAGGACAAACTTGAAGAAAAAAATTGAACAAGGTGCTATTGAAATCCATGTTGGAAAACTGCACTAGCTCAGTAGCTCAATTCCATAAGCATAATGGAGTAATGGACAGACTATTGGCAAGAAATAGCAATTGCAACTATTGAGAGAAAGTTTCAAGAATTGGAACCTCTTTTACTCAAAAGCAAAAGGTGCAGTGGAAATAAAAAAGAGATTTTCAAAATTCTGAATAGATTTGCGTAAATAGAGAAATGCTGTTTTCACTGGTTGGTGAATGTGGCACGAAAGGACACAAACTGAGGATAATCACTTGAAAAATTATATCACCTTGTGGGTTATTAGTACATAGAATATTTTTGGTGAATGTTAAGAGATAAGCAATAAAAAATATTTAAAAGGGGATTGGTTAAGCATTTTAAATTTAATAATGTGATGTTTACATGGAATGGGTAAGAAATCTGGATAAAAGTAGACAGTCCCAGGTGAAGCGATAGTACCGACATGAGTGTAATGGGTGAATAGTTTCCTTCTGCGAGTTCTATCATTGCATCAGCTGAGGATAGTTAGTCACCCACTGCAGCATTCAAAATTGTCATGATGGTGTCCCACAAGAATCTCTTTTGGGGCCTCAGTTATTCACATCATTTACTTATGATTTGGATAATGGCATAGAAAGTCTTATATCCAAATTTGCTGGTGATGCAAAGTTAAGCAGCATTATAGACAGTGTAGGTGATAGCATAAAATTACCAAGGGGTATTGATAGACTAAGAGAATGGGCAAAACTGTGGCAAATGGAATTCAATTTACGCAAATGTGAGGTTATCCATTTTGGACTGAAAAAGGATAGAACAGGGTACTTTCTAGATGGTGTAAAGTTAAACACAGTGGCTCTCCAAAGAGTCTCGGGGTTCAGGTGCATATGTCTTTAAAATGTTACGAATGGGTGCAGAAAATAGTCAAGAAAGCTAATGAAATGCTGGCCATTATATCCAGAAGACTGGAGTACAAAGATGTAGACGTTATGCTGCAGTTATACAAAACCCTGGTTAGACCTTATTTGGAGTACTGTGGGCAGACCTGGGGGCATCACACCTTAGGAAGGGTACATTGACCTTGGAGGGAGTACAACGTACGTTCACAAGAATAATACCTGGACTTCAGGGGTTAAGCTATGAGGAGGGATTACACAAATTAGGCCTGTCTTCTCTAGAATTTAGAAGGTTAAGGGTGATCTGATCAAAGTCTTCAAGATATTAACAGGAAAAATCAAGGTGGATAAAGATAAATCATTTCCATTGGCTGGGCATTTAGAACTAGGGGGCACAGTTTGAGAATTATTGCCAGACCATTCAAGGAAGATGCTAGGAAGAACTTCCATACACAAAAGGTGGTAGATGTTTGGAATTTTCTTCCACAAACAGTAGTGGATGCTGGATCAGTTGTTAACTTTGAATCTGAAATAGATTTTTTTTTGTTAAACAAAGGTATTAAAGTCTGTGGGCCGAAGGCAGGTATTTGGGAATTTGGCCACAGATCAGCCATGATCTCACCGAATGGTGGAAACGGCTCAAGGGGCTGAATAGCCTATTCGAGTTCCTATATTCCTAGTTGCTCATCATTAGTGTTTAGAAGGAGAGGCCATTGAATCAGTTTCATGTTTACTCCAGCACACGATGACAGATATGATTGTGAAAGTCAGGGTTTTATGAATGATTCCTTCGTGTTTTCTGAAGTTCACAAGTGTGAAGAACAATCATTACTCTTCATTGAAAGTGCAGCTCTGGGGCTGTGCATCACTCCCTACAAGTACACATCAGTCCACCACCTGAATGGGAAAGTTACAGCAACAAGACCCAATAGCTTCTCCTGGAAGGTGCCAAGGATTTGATGATATTGCAGGATTGTTTCAATGGAAAATAGTTATTCAGATGCTTAAGTGCATTGTCAGGCTCTTGTAGACACCTACTTTTGGTATGTAGGATTCAATCCATACTCATTTAACATTGCTGGTATAGTCCTTAGCTCAGAAAATTTTAAAGTGAAGAGGTTATGGCTTTATGAGCTGTGGATAGCTTTGTATTTATCCATTACTTGTGAGGATTTGTGCTACAGTTGAGACTGGTCACTTATATGTGGCATCTAGATAGATACTGTTGGATACAGTCTTCAAAGGAAAAGTAGCTCTAATGATGATGATAAGATTGGAAATAATAGAACCTTGTGCACTGTGTAAGTGATGGAGATCACAGTGGGGTCATTGAGATTGTTGATTGCTCCTAATCATCATCTGGACAATCTTCAGCTGACCCAAAACAAATAGGTGAATACTTTGCTGTCATACTCCTCGCTGCTTTGTAGACATTCTCTGATTCTGTGTGTTCCTTTCTTATTAAAAAAACAATGTTTATGGAATAATCTGTACTTATAGAAATTTGCATTGAAAAAATGTGTATGGTTAACTTAATTTCATCTTGCTATTTGGCTCCTTTGGCTAGGATATCTCTCTTCCGTCAATAGTGAATCATAATACACATCAAAATACTGGAACGTTTCAAAATTTTGGAAGAAAAAACATTCACCTGTACATTTTACAGAAGCAGAGTTCAACTTTATATTTTAACAAAAACTCCAATACTACAAAAACACTTCAGTCAATTTCAGTTTACCCCTTAATAATTGATGGAATATTCAATATCGGCAGTTTATGTCACAATAGGTTAATGTCCCACTTCACACTCAGTGTCACTATCTATTGTATGGCAAAAATCAGATCAGTGTATTTCAATATTCACAGACAAACAGAATCTTTACTGCTAAATATTACTTGAAACACAACTAGAAATCTATAATAAAAAAGGAATTCAACGATCATTTAGCATGAAGCAGTGGTTTGGCCTCTATTCAGGGCTGTTTTCTCAGGTGTACATTTTTATTGATTTGCCAGCTTTACTGAGTGCTGTTCACCGGCACATATGTTTACAAGGGTCTTTTCATAAATCAGTTATAAATATAGTGGGACTTCCAAATCTTCTCCCCTTTCCTGCTCACTTTCCAGGAAGTCAGTGCCTTGTTCTTGGCCTTTGGGAGCAAATTTGTGAAAGATGGTAGTCTATACTGATATTATTTCTCTGGGAATTAGAAAGCTCCCAGAAAAGAAACTATCACATAATTAACAGAAATTTTCCCCCACAGCATTGCAGTATTGCATAAACGCAGCCAGTTAATTTCTGGAATGTTGCGGCTCAATTTTCTTGGTTTGAAATAAAACATGACAAAGAAACAGTCTGCTGCTGTTCTCCAAAGTTTAGCCTGGCTAGGCTTCAAATTCAGTCTTGAACTAAACTCTCTGAGACAGATTACAACTTCCATCCCAAACTCCCCATGCAAAAGGTGTTGTCTTGCAGGGTTTGATACTGCTACTGGCTACTAAATAGTTTTTACAGTGTTTTAGTGCTCATGTATACACCTGCTATTTGTTACTTAGTGTTGTACAGCAACTGTAATATGGCAGATGATGCACATTGTTTTAAAAACACAAGTGCAATTGTACTTACGTGTCTCTGGATATTTCCCGAGGCTGTGAGCCTGACGGAAATACTGAGGATTTTCAATCACTGGGATCCGGGTCATCCCAATAACGACAGCGTCTGGTCCAACATCCATGGATGAGGGTGTGATAATCCCATGGTTGATGTGGTGGAGTGGGCTTCCAGAATCTTCCTCACCACTGATCACAGCTACTGGCCCTGTAACACAGAAGAGGAAATGCACATAAACTTTGCCCAAACAACTTTCACCAGGATTAATCACTTTAGAACATTGTACACCATAAAACAATTTACTGCCAAATCTACATTCACCTTAACATGCCAAACCTAACCATTCACCTTTAATAATATAAAAAGAAACACTATGAATGAGTATGCATTCCCATATACTGCGTCTCTAAGGTTTTAGAGTAGATTTGTAGCTCAGGTTGTGGATGTTGAGGTTGGTTGGCTCACCGTTCCACAGACATTTCATTACCCTGCTGGGTAACAACATCAGTGCATTTCTGCTATTTTGCAGGCTTGTGAGTTGTCAATGGGCGGTTTGTATCTCACACTGCAGGGTAATACCTGGTTCCTGAGGCATCCATGTAGAAAGTAGAGTTGTTCGCGGGTCGCACTCTGTCGTTTGGCATAGTTCTCCCATTTCCGTGCCAATTTAAGCATGTTTCGCCCATAGGTCTCTAAGGTTTTAGAGTAGATTTGTAGCTCGGGTTGTGCGTGTTGTGGTTGGTTGGCTCGCCGAGCTAGTTCGATGTTCCACAGACATCTCATTACCCTGCTGGGTAACAAACGATAGTGTGCGACCTGCGAACAACTCTACTTCCTACATGGATACCTCAGGAACCAGGTATTACCACGCAGTATGAGATACAAACCACCCATCAACAACCCACAAGCCCGGAAAACAGCAGAAATGCACTGATGATGTTACCCAGCATGGTAATGAAATGTCTGCGGAACAACGAACCAGCTCGGCGAGCCAACCAACTACAACGTACTGTGTCTGAGATGTGGTTCCTCCATATTTTAACTGCAACAACTTCTAAACAATGTTGCTGGCAGGTAATTACAGAGACAAGGGATTTAGTGATTATGATTTTGGCAATTAATTTCATTCCAATAACCATTTTATTTTTTTCAATGTTGCATTCTGTTTGATTGATGTGCATTTGCTCCTCATTCACTGGGGCTTACATCAGGATTGGACACACACACTGTAGCAGTCATAATTATTTACTCATTATTGGGACTGATTTCCACCGTTTCTTTGATTTTGGATTGATTTCCTTAAAGTAATTTGTCCTCTAAAAGCTCCAAATGCCTATCAGAAGCAGTTGCTTTGTATTTAAAATTCCACAGGCCTAGAGCCTTCCATTGTCTGAGCAGTCTAAGGTCACACTTCTGTTCAGAATAAGATTTGATCTCAGATGGACTTCAGCAGATTTAAATACAATTTCAATGCACAGAACAGGGTTTACTCCCTTTAAGGGACAGATAAATTGAAGTAGCCTACTTCTTCAAAGAAAACAAAGGAGTCTGAGTGCTGGTGAGTCCTGGCAGATATAGCAATGTATCAAGCTCACCTGATAGCCTCATTCTAAACATCCCAACGTAACACCTCACCTCCCCCTACAACACGAGCAATGTCAAAAGTTTCAAATTTTTCTTATTCTGATGGCAGGAGCTAATGTTTACCTGAGACTAGAATAAAGAATTAACATGAAACTACAACGACTGCCAATGAAAGAAAATGACAAATGATCAAAGGTGTCAGAAAATAAAATATAGATTCAACAGATCTAAATGTATTGGAAAAGTACAGGGAATGTAGTTAGACAGAAACCTAGATTCTATTAACTGTCTAAAAGTGCTTAATCTCTATCAAATGATCAAAATTTATTTTAACAAACATAGCTTTTGCAATAAAGTTGCTTGGTGTTACTGCAGAATATATTCTTGCACATTTTCAATATAATACGCAACAATGTAATTTGATTTGATTTATTATCATCACTTTTCCCGAGATACAGGGAAAAGTATTTATTTTCTTCATTCATTAACAGCATGAGGATGTTACTGGCTAGGCAGCATTTATTGTCCATCCCTAATTGCCCAGAGGGCAGTTCAGAGCCAACCACATTGCTGTGGGTCTGGAGTCACATGTAGGCCAGATCAGGTAAGGATGGACATTAGTGAACCAGGTCTTTTTTTCCCCCTACAATTGACAATAGATTCATGATCATCATTAGATTCTTAATTCCAGATATTTTATTGAATTCAAATTCCACCATCTGCCATGGTGGGATTCAAACCTGGGTCCCAAGAACGTTATCCGGGTCTCTGGATTAACAGTCCAGCCATAATACCACTAGGCCATTGCCTCCCCTGTTTTGTGTGCTATCCAGACAAATCATACTTTCCGTAAGTACATCAGGGTAATAGAACAGGATGCAGAATATAGTGTTACAGCTACCGAGAAGGTGCAAAGAAAGATCAAGTTTAACATATGAAAGGTTCGTTCAAAAGTCTAATGACAGTAGGGAATAATCTGTTCTTGAATCTCTTCGGACTTGTTTTCAAACTTTTGTATCTTCTGCCCAACAGAAGATGGTGGAAGAGAGTATAACTGGGATGGGAAGAGTCTTTGATTATATTGGCTGTTTTCCCGAGGCAGCAGGAAATACAGATGGAGTCAATGGAATTGAAGGCTGGTTTGCATAACGGATTGGGCTGCGTTCACTATTTCTTGCAGTCTTGGTAACATTTACCATACCAAGCTGTGATGCATTGGGATAGGATGCTGTAGCTTTTAGATAATACATTTCTTTTCCATTGTAAACATTTGTCAATGACAGTGCTTGAGAAATATGACCATATCACTTTGTGGCACAACATTAAGTCCCTCTTACATTTCTTGTTTTTGATTAGTAAGCCAAACAGTTTGACCCAGTGATGATCAACATCGGTTTGCAAACTGCCTCAGAAAAATCCTTGCTGAGTGCAATGCAGCAGCACAAAAAACAAAATGAAACCTCCATAATTGGATGCTAGGTTCTATGGCTGGCAGTTGTTTCTCTTGTCATTTATTTTATGCATGAAGGCAGCGTGACAAGGGTTTTGCTGAGATGAAATAAACTCATTATCACTGCTCTTGGAATTAAATGGTGCTATTCAGATATTTATTTACTGGCAAAGATAGGTCTGAATATACCATCTTATTGTGTTCAAGTGAAGTGTTTTCTTTAAAGGTAAGTGCTTTGTACAATTACTCACATTGAAATGCAGTTTTCTGGATGTAACTCACGCCAAATGCAAACTCCTGAACACTGGATAGCTGCCAAAATAATTGAGAATGTTCTTTCCTTTTCGATTCTGACTTGAGTAACACACTATGAAGGTCTCATCCATTACTTGGATATCATGAAGCAGATATTCTGTATCAAGTTGGGTAACTAAATTTGGGAAATTTCCAAACTTGGTAGTCTTCCCTGCCTCAGTTTAGAGCACTCTGTTAGACCCAATTACAGTTTCAGGAATGTGGATTTGGATAGATTCTGGTATGCTGTTCCTGGAAGTAGATTCTAGATGCCATGTAAATATCTGCCTTAGGTCTCCAAAAGGAAATTGCTGGAGAAAAGCATTTGCAGAGAGAAAAGAGAGTTAATGTTTTGACTCCACTCTGAAGAAACAATTTCTGATTTTGTTTCCGATCTGCAGCATCTGTAGTTCTTTGTTTTGTTTTGGTTCTCTGCGATGCTGGGCCATTTGTTTTTAGAAACTCAACCCTCACACCTAACCCCACCACTAAAGCTCAAGGCCCTCTTACACTTTCCATCGGCCTTCTCCAGCTACTCAGACCCCCAGACAGCATCTAAAGTCCCTCAAAGCCTGTGCCACTTCCACAGCCATACACACAGTGCAGAATCAGCAGACCTTGGGAATCATGTTAAGATGTAAATAAAACTTCTAACAACCAAATACAACCTTCTCATGTACACACTTGATAATGAAAGGAACTCCCATTGATGAAACGAAACGAAAATGTTTATATTTCCTCATGTGTTCAATCTAAAAAATAAACTTCTATTCAGACTCCACATGAAAGGAAACTAATTCTTTAACTGCCACTTTACATTGTTAACAGAACTGTGAATTCAGAACCCTCATTAAGATAATTGGTAGCTTTTGAAACACAGCCAAGTATTCATAATGACATAATATTTGACAAAATGCCATCAAAGGACTCTATTTAAATTGCACAGAGAGTTGGCATTCTTTCTATTCTACAGCATCTGCCCTGTTAATCAAAACAGGCCATTTCTTTAAAAATAACCTTTCCTGACTTGTGCCTGATCTTATTTTCCAAATTTAAAAAGCAGGGAATTTTGAAAAACTTGAAATTACAATTAAACAGACTTTATTCACCTTTGAAGACATTTACATCAATTCCAACAATTCATGATTCCCTTGGTGCAGGTTGAGCACCTTAATTAAGGAAATTAGAATAGACAAAATGTGGTCTGTCTGAACTCAGAACTAAGTTCAAATGGCTCTGCTTAGTTCAGGCTTCCTTCTTGTATAAATATCTCAGGCAGAAAGTGAATCTATGGCAGGATTTCGACATTCGTGTTCTGTTTGCCATTTTTAAAGGTCCATGGAATCTTCCTGGCCCCACAAAAAGTCCAGCCCCATATCTAAGACACCCCTTCATTTTGACAGACAAAGATTTATCAACCATTTGTACAAATTTCCCTGAAGCATCAGTAACACCTCCACATTCACTCAAAACAAATATCATGTGAGAAAAAACATCCAAATTGTGATCTTTATAGATTAATTTGAATTTTGCACTCAGTCAACTGCTGAAATTACCATTTCACCATTCCCCTGGTGATAAAAAGCACTTTACCAGATAAATTTGTCCTTTACTTAGTTACATCAAGGCTATGGCACAGACGTCAGCCATTTGGCACCTGCTCAATGCTGCTATTGATGCTCCACATCAGCCTCCTTGGAAGCACCCTCATCTAACATATTCAGCATATCCTTTCCATTGTTATTCCCCCATGTGCTTATTTAGCTTTTCTTTAAATGAATCCTATTTTTCTCAATCACTCATTGTGATAGCACATTTACCACCCTTTAGGTACAGAATTTTGCCTTGAGCTCTCTGTTGGATTCATTAGTGACTATTT